CAGGCCAGGAGGACACACGCTTTGAGATTGCCCCAGATCTCACCCCGCCTGGGAGCCTGGTGATGCAGCCCCCTCCTTCTGTTTGGAGAAGCGTAACCTCGGCACCCCTCCAGAGCCTCCCACCTTCCCTGCCCACGCAGCTCGGGGCTCGCCAGCTCCCGAGTATATTAACAACTCGTTAATTTCTTGGCTTGTCAGTAGGGCCAGATGAGGCGGGGCTGATGAACCGGGGGCCTGCAGGACCATCAACCTGGGAAATCAATAGCAATTTCTTGGACTCGCTGAGGCTGCACCGACCAGCTGATTCCAGACGGTGAGGGCCCCGGAGAACGGGGGAGCTTCGTGGGCCATGGGGCAGCCTGACTTCACACCCGCTAAAAAGGGCACCCCCAGGTTTGTAGCACCGTCCGCTGCCCACCAGCCCGGCTCCCAGAGTGACTTGGACAGCTGGGGGCAGAGCGGATTGGTGGGTTCTGCGCAGAGCATGCTAAACGGGGTTAGGCCTGGTAGGTACCTGCCTGGGAGACCGCTGACAAAATCGCAGGGTGTCGTTTGCAAAGGGGAAGCCGCTTTGCCATCTTCTCTCCAGTGCAGGTGCACAAGCAGGGAAGTCCCCGATGGATCGATAACTATTTGCTATGGCACGACAGCCTGCACACAGGGAGGCTTGTAGGGCACCGAGGGAGGTGGGATCATGCGGGCACAAGACAGACCGGTAGGACGCAGGGCAACACGCGGGCTGGGCTCTGGCTAGGTGGCCTCGTGGTGCTCTGGGGTTCAGGGGGGTCCCGACCTCCACTGCTCTGCAAAGTGGGGACGAATTGCTCCCGCGGCGCCATCACCTCACCCCCTGGGGAAACTGAGGCACCGAGCTGAGACGCGCCTTGTCCCAAGCAAGTCTGTGATGCGGCCTGGAAGAGAACTCCGTCTGTTAGTCCCATGCCTTAACCACAAGCCCTTTCCTCCTGCGGCCTTTTCCGTCCCGTTTCTATCATTCGCCCACACAAACGAGGCCTTCTCTTTGTTGGCAGCCGCGGCAGAGATAGGGCAAAGAGCGAGTCCAACGCTGACGCTCAGCCTAGACAACGGCCCGCCCCGGGCAGAGAGGACGCCCCTCAGAGCAGCTGTTACTGTTAGCTACGTGGATCGGGGGGAACATCGGAGGCTCCAGATGTCCAGCCGGGCGGCACAACGTAGCATTTTAAGGATGCCCGATCTCCGCTTTTGGGGACATTCCCCCCCACCCCCGTTTGTGGGTGGTATGGAACAGCGCTTATGCGTCCTTATGCGTCACCGCCCTTTCCAAAGCCTTTTACAGAGAAACGTTTTGCCCAGGCTACACTCCTGGTACTAGATCCAACGTAAGAGAACGTTGCCTTTCAAACTAGCCGCTCCCGACCCCACCGAAAACGTTTCTGCCGTCGCTCTACAATGAAAAATAAATTTCATTCCAAACAAGAGCAGGAACGCGTCAGCAAGGTGTAACGAAGTGGGGGGGTTCTTGTTTTCTGTGGACTTTTCAATGGTTTGCATGCGGAGGGGGTGGGACTCAGTTTCTCTGGGTGTTACTGGTTTAACGAGGTGAGGGGAGAGGGAGTGTGTTTTGCAGAGGACCGGAGAGAGGACGTGGGGACCCAGCCGATGGCCTGGAGGATGGAGACCCCAGCGACCGGTGACCTGGCGACCTGGTGACCCGGAGGCCCAGCTGAGGAGACGCAGCCGGTTCTGGCCAGTGGGGGGGACAATGGGCTGCAGAGTGAGGACCCGGTGACCTAACCAGCCGGTTCCAGCCAGAGGACAGAAGCAGGAGAGGAGGCCCCGTTTACGACCCTGTTTACCTGCAGAGAAGACAATGGACAGAGGCGGGGTCTGGGGCCGGGGGATCTCAGATGCCCAGCTGGGAGCAAGGGGGCTCTGGGCTGGAGAGGGGGAGCAGGCAGAGCCCACCTGGTTGCAGAGAGACTGGGATGTGCTGGGCTGAGGGAGGCCAGGCCTGAGGCCCTGAGAGTTTCCTGTGCTGTGTTCAACTCTCAATAAACCCTCCTGTTTCATGCTGGCTGAGAGTCACTCTGGTCTAGAGAACAGGGTTGCATCAACCCCTTCGGGGGTGGAGGCCCCGGGGGTCCAGAGCGAGTGGACTCCCTGAGGGGGCCCATGGCAGAGACAGGTGTGCTAAGGCTCAGAGAGGCACGGCTCCAGGAGATGGAGGGGCCTGACCCCGAGAGACAGTGGACCTCCAAGAAGGGCTGTCGCACTGAAAGGGGCACCCCCCATGGACCGCACGGGGCCAGGAGTGGGCACGATCCGTGAGTCTGTGACACAAGGGTATTAATTATGCCGTTAAAAGTTCATTTAAAAAGGCGTTCCTCAAATCGGCACTACGCACATGGTGTTGGTTTTTCTCGGCAGCCATCCAGGTTTTTGCACTGGTGGGAGCGGTGGGATGAGCGAGCAGGCTGGGACGCTGGCATCGGCGCGATGGTAGAATTCTTTAAAGCAGGAAATAGCTACTTACAAAAGAAGGCTTTAGGGAACGGGGATGCTGTGATTATTGTTCCTTATTTTTATTAGGGTAACTCCTAGGAACCCCAGGCCCGCACAGTGCTAGGCGCTGTACATTTTCATTGCTGTTAGGTGTATTATAGTAGCACCTGAGAGCCCCACTATGAACCAGGTGCTGTGTATACCCACAATGGAAAGTCCCTTCCCCAAAGAGCTTCTGGTCTAAGGCCTTGTCTACACTAGACAGGGTCTGGGGTATAGCTATACTGGCGCGGTTGCCAGCGTATTCCTGGAGGTTTCATCACATTACATGATCTTTAATTAAAGATTCATCTTTAGTTCCTGGAGGGTTGGCAACCCTATATCCCGTCCGAGCTCTTCAAGTGGGGACAGACCTTCTATTGGCACAAGTGTGCTTTCCTGGCACGACGTAGTGCAGCTCCCCGAACAGAATCCGCAACCCGGCAGAAGGACTTTTGACTGCTGTAATTGCCTGGGGCTTTTGCTGGTATAAACACGTTGTCAAAAACCATCACCCTCCTAAATGGACATTCTCCTCCTGGCAAGAGAGTCGGGCACAGAGCGAGGCCGCGGAGCGGAGAAGAGGCGACAGCTGGAGACTGACAGGCAGATGTGGGAGCACGGGGAGACGATGATTTTGTCTCCGATTTATGTTCTAATGTGCGAAATCCACAAATTAGCCTCATTTGTATTCCAGTAGCACCTAGAGCCCTGGACTGAGATCAGGACCCTGTAGTCCTGGGCACTGCACGGATCCACCCCAGACTGAGATCGGGGGCCCCCCCTAGGCCGGGCGCTGCACAGACCCCCCCAGACTGAGATCGGGGCCCCCCCGGGCCGTGCACCACACAGATCCCCCCCCAGACTGAGATCGGGGCCCCCCCGGGCCGGGCGCTGCACAGATACAAGCGAGAGCCCCAGACCCAGGCCCAGAGAGTTCCCAACCTGTGCACCTGGAAGAAGGCTGGTTCTCCCCATGTTACAAGCCAGAGCCAGAAAGCGATCTGCTCGAGCTCCCAGAGTAAGTCTGTGGCAGTTCCAGGGCTCCCAGCTCGGCCCGGGGCCAGCCCACCCCGTGGGAGCAGGCCGGTTACACCCAGCGCGGACAGCAGTGACCTGGGGGCGCTCTGGCCACCTGCACGGCATGACAAGCTCTCACGGAGCCGGCCGAAAAGCCGGGAGCCCTAACAATACAGTGGAAGCTCAGAGGAGAACCGGGTGTTTTCCCGGCTCAGACAGCAAAGGCAGACTCCAGCTAATGCCACCGAGCAGGTCTCCCAGCCCACCGTAGCTTGGTTCTCCTGCCTTCGCCCTCTCAGCTCGGGCCCTGAGCGACTGCTAAGCGGCTCCTGTTAGAGCCATGTATTTCACAGCCCTGGGAATCTCCCCTGCCCCAGCCCCGATTCCTGCTGCAAACCCAAAACCTCTTGGGGGAACGAGGGTGCTCTGGGTTTCTTTAGGGCACGGGGAACGGAGGGGTCCCAGCCATTTGCACAATGTGGCTCTCAGCACAGAGATCACTATACACACGACTCCCTCGATCGTCACACCTGCTGCATCCTGGAACTTCATGGCGCGAGTGGGGACTGAACCCAGATCTAGCCCTTCTCCAAAAGCTCAGCCCCCTGCCACCTGAGCTAACGGCAAATCACCCCTCGCTTTGGCAGTATAGGGCATATGACACACACATGAGAAGTTCCCATTCCCCCCAGCAGAGTGCAGTAGTACTAGCCAGCGCAGTGCAATGCTTTTTCTTCTCTTATCAAAGACGAGGGGAGCAGGAAATTGGCCCTGATGCCAGGGGACGAGTATTTACAGCTGATGCCCCTCCCCCCACTCCCCAAATCACCACAGAGCCATACGGAAGAGGTGGCCTTTAAAGAGCTAGAATACGAAGGGCCCGATTCTCTATAGCTCAGCGTCTCCGTCAGGCGCCGCGCCCAGCAGAAAGAGGGGCTAGATCCGAATTTCCACCCACCTTCCACCGTCCAGAACACCCACAGCCTCAATAACTCGGACTACAAGCAGGCAAGCCCACGGCCTTGTCTGCACTGAAGATTTGCCCCAATTCCAGCCACTGGTGGCAAACCCCACTTTTGGCCCTGGTCTTGGCTTTCCACCGTGGCTGGCCACTGATGGGTGGCACCTCAATATGGCCAGCCCCCAGGCCTTCAACAATCATCAGATTAAATATATATATATATATTGTTTGGGGTTTTTTTTCCACCTTCTGCGTTTAGGGCCAGTGGGGGGGGGCTGCATTTTCCAGTATTTCTCCCCAACCAAGAGGGTTAGACACTTACTTTTTTAAACTTTTTCACAATAATGAAAGCCAAGATTCTCAGCTAATCCCAGGACTCCGGGAGCTGGGGCTTGATGCGCACCCGCATGCAGGCACACCCTCACCAGGCAGCTATGCTGGGTGCATCTCCAGGCTGTGGCGAGGCTAACAAGAGGGGCCGACGGTTCGTACTTACACTGTCTCGTCGTCCTTGAATTCCAGCTCCCCACAGGCGTCTTCGTAGTCGATGCCCGCTCCGCGAGCCGTCCCCTCCACTGTCCGGTAGGGGACGATCACCGTCCCCCGCGCCCCAGAGCTCCGCACCACCTTCACTTCCATGGTGCCCTGGCACTCGCTGACACGCAACAGCTTGTCCTGGAAGGTGAAGATGCCGGCGTGGTCGTCGTCCAGGATGGTGACGGTAGCGATCAGCGGGGCCACCAGACGCCCCTTGGGGTGGTCGGCCGAGTCGGACTCGAACATGCCCTCGGCGTCCCCCACCCGCAAGTTGAGCAGGCGGACGAAAAAGTGCTCGTCTTCCTCGAAGATATCGTCGTCGATGATGCCAATCTTCAGCTCCTTCTGCGTCTCGCCCGGCTTGAAGATCAGCGTCCCCTCGCTATATTCGTAGTCGGAGCCCGCCTTGGCCGAGCCGTCCTCCGTCTTGTAGTCCACGTAGAAGGTGTGGTTGCCCTCCCCACCCTGCTGGCAGGCCACGGTCAGCGTGACCGAGCCGCAGTTCTCCAGGCAGTGGTACAGGCAGGGCTCGAAGAAGATCTTGCTGTAGTTCTCCTCCTCCGCCTCCGACGGCGCCTCCAGAAGGTTGGACGACTTCTTGGAGAACTCCGAGACGTGTTTTTTCAGGATGTTCCCAGCCCCGGTCATCATGCGGGTGGCTTGGATGCGGTAGAAAGCTCGGCTCTTCTGTTGGTGCAGCAGGGCGTAGTAGTTGGCCATTTCCACCAGCTGCTCCAGCTCTTTGTCCGGGTGCTTCTGCTTGAGGTCCTTGAGAATCTGGATCACCTCCTTGCGGCTCTCGTCCAGTTCCTTCTCCTCTTGGGTGGAGGAGGCCAGGGCCGGGGACGTGGAAGCCGCCCCGTCCATGAAGACGTTCTCCCGGTGGTCATTGGCCAGGAAGCTGCCATCCATCTCGATGTCTTTGGGGAACTCCCCTTCGGTGCCGATGATGATGCCGCTCCGCGGGTCGGCGCGGTACCTCTTGTAGACGTACTTGTAGAAGAAGAGCCGCTTGTCGGCGATCCAGGCGAAGACCACGCAGACCGGGAAGAAGACGAGCGTCAGCAGAGCTTCCCAGACCTGCACCACGCCCGGGGAGATGACCGCTAGGATCAGATAAAGCCAGATGTAGGCGAAGATGCTCCAGGAGGCCGTGACGAAGAAGACCCGCAGGTGTTTGATCTTGCGGCTCTCCCCGGCGGGGATGACGTAAACGCAGATGGCGATCACCACGAACATGTTGAAGGCGGCGCTGCCCACAATGGTGCCGGGCCCCAGCTCCCCAGCTTGGAAGTTGTGCCCACACACCTCGATGACAGAGAGCAGGATCTCGGGTGCGGAGGAGCCCAGCGCCATCAGGGTCAGGTTGGAGACCGTCTCGTTCCAGATCCGCACTGTTCCGATGCTGGTCTCGCCGTTGGCCTTGGTGACGGTGATTTCCTTCTCCTTGGAGGTGATGACCTCGATGGAGGCCATGAAGCGGTCGGCGATGATGGAGACCCCCAGGAACATGTACATCATGGCCACGAAGTAGACAATGGCCCGAGCAGCTTTGTCGCCGAAGGAGGGGTTGTCCGGCTGCCAGACGGGCAGCAGCACCCCCGGATGGCACGTGTTGGACCCTTGGCAGCTCACGTTGCTTTCCGGCACCGTCTCCAAGGCTCCCGCCTGGGAGAAGTTGTCAGCCAGGAGGACGGACGCCAGCAGAGCCTGGGTGAGGAATCGGGGCAGGGGCTGCCATGCCGGCGCCATGATCCCGGGCGGTTCGGTCCGGCTGCCAGACCCGGCGGGATCTAGAGGAGAGAACGAGAGAGACTTGTGATGGCGCTCCAAGCTCATGCCTTGCCAGGGCTCTCTGAGGCACTTTGCCCTCCCAGAGCTGGGATAGAACCCAGGAGTCCTGGCTCCCAGCCCCCCCCTGCTCTAACCACTAGACCCCACTCCCCTCCCAGAGCTGGGGAGAGAACCCAGGAGTCCTGGCTCCCAGCCCCCCCTGCTCTAACCACTAGACCCCACTCCCCTCCCCCTGCTGGGATGGAGCCCAGGAGTCCTGGATCCCAGCCCCCCCTGCTCTAACCACTAGACCCCACTCCTCTCCCCGTGCTGGGATGGATTGCGCCAGGCTCCTACACAAACCAACCGGCTCCCTCCCCCTCACCCTTCAGCCCCGCGCTCTGCTCACTGCGTCTCTCAGACCAGCTGCGAGTCGCTGGTACGCGACAGATGGACCCCCCCAAACACAACCTACGAGCTCGGCTCCGCGTCGCAGTTTTCCGGGCTCCGCGTCGCTATTTTTATTCCTTCTTCCTGTTCCCAACACTTCTCCAGAGCTCGCTGCCCGGGGCTCGGGATTTCACCGCACCGCAGGTGCCACCCTGGCAGGTCGGACTCAACAGGGCCAACAACCGCTTCTCCTGGCCCTTTACTGGGGCGAGCTCCCCTGGGCTCGGCCCCCTGCGATCCCAGCTCCTCCCAGTCACGCAGCTGCCTGCTACCCGGAGCCACCTTCAAAGCAGTTTTCCCTTCGTTAGCCCCGGCGGGAGGGACGTGGCCCCGGCGGGAGGGACGTGGCCCTGGCCCCGGCCAGCACGGCAGGATCGTGGCCTCTCCAGAAATGAGCCCCCGTGAAACAAGCATGGCTCGGCAGCTGCGTTCTCCCGGGCCCAGCCCTTCCCTCAACAGGGCAGAGCATCCGGCGGAGATTGTGACCGTCCCCACCATCGACAGGCCCGGCCGCCCCAAGGCACCGCGTGCGTAATGCCCGAGCTAAAGGAGGACGCCTCTTAACCAGCGGCAGCAGTAGGCTGGTATCCTCTCCATGGCCCAGCCGCTGGAGGAGGAGAAGACACACGCCCACACCGTTTTGTACACACACCCAGCCTACACATGCACACGGCTTGGTACACGAACACACACACAGTGTGCACAAGCACACACATCCCCCCACTAGGCTATACACACACACACACACACACACGGCTCGCAGCCCAGACACTCCTTTGGCCGCCGCTCGGGAACAGCGGGACTAGCCAGGCGAAGGGCGGATTAGCCCTGGACACAGAGGCGCGCCGGCCTTCCCTTGATTGGGTCATCCCAGAGAACAGTGGGGGGGACGGGGGACGACGACTCGGATAAGCCGCTTACTCCCAGGGCGTGACACTAACGAGGTTTAGCGCAATGATGTAAAATCAGGCCGGTGGGAGACACTGTTTTTTACGTGACTTTCTTAATAAGAGATCATCTGTGTCTCCGGCTGCTGCCAGCAACGGGCCTACATCCGGGGCGGGGAGTGGGGGGGTAGAAGGACAGGAGACCCCCAAGCTACGGGGGTCCCCCAGTCTCCCCCCTCTCCCGCACCTACAGTGGGATGCACTCGGAGCGGGAGGCAGAGGGCTCCCAGGGCTGGCGGGCAGCGGGGGAAGCGGGCAGGAGCGCACGAGTGTTTCCAAGCCCCCAGGGACTGGCGACCGGGGCCCCGGGGGAGCCCCACGACTTTGCGGCGGTGAGCAGAGCTTGCCATCTCCCCCGCCTGCCAGGCACCCCGAGATCCCCGGCGCGTGGCTCTTTGCAGCCACCGGGCGCCCCAAATCCCGGCATAGTTGGGGTCTCCTGCCAGCCCAACACGAGTGGCTGAGCCGGGGAGGGCAGCGCGTCCCAGCGATCCCAGCCAGCGGCCAGCGGCGCGTCCGTGGCTTCGGGGTCCCGGCCCCTCGGAGGAGCTGACGGAGCCGATCTGTTCAGCCGGAAGGACCTCAGTAAACCCACAGGCCTCGTTAGCACAGGCGAGATGGGAACTCCTGGGTGACGCGAACGAGGCCATGCCAGCCACACGCCAGCCGAGGAGGGTGACCAGATCTCCCGACTTTATAGGGACAGTCCTGCTATCCAGGGTTTTGTCTTATATAGACACCAATTACCCCCCACCCCCGTCCCGATTTGTCACACTTGCTATCCGGTTACCTTACAGCCGAGCCCGGGGCCCACACCACGGTCACCGTGCGCGGCTGGTATGGAGACGGTGGCACCGATCCGGATGGGGGTTTGTTGTAAATAAGCAGAGCAGAGCACAAGGCTGTTAGAGGGGGCTCGAACCAGGGCTTCTGTCCAGGAGGAGGGCAAGGCTGGGAGCCAGGACTCCTGGGTTCTCTCCCCGGCTCTGGGAGGGGAGGGGAGTCTAGTGGTTAGAGCAGGGGGGCTGGGAGCCAGGATTCCTGGGTTCTTGTCCCAGCTCAGGGAGGGGAGTGGGGTCTAGTGGTTAGAGGGGGGGGCGTAATCACGACTCCTGGGTTCTATTCCCAGGTCTACCCCTAAACCACTGTGTGCACCAATCATACCTCGGCGTCCCCGCCCGTCTCACCCCGACCCCTTTCCAGCACTGCTGGAAACATCAGGACCATCTGGTCACCTGGGCAGCCTGCCTCCTTCCCCATTGTGCTGAGGTAAACTGAGGCAGAGAAAGATGAAGAGACGCTCCCCACGTTCACCCAGGGCGGAGCCGGGCGTTCTGCTCAACCCGTCTCGTCGCGCAGGAGCAGGGGCGCCCTGGATGGCACTGCAAGGCGGCACATTTCAATCCCCCCGGAGGAAATACGTACCACCCGCCTGGCCTGTGGGACTCCCTGCCACCAGATCTCAGTGAGGCCCAGACCGTAGCAGGATTCAAAACAAAGGACGCAGCCACGTCTCCGGACAGTGAGAATAGCCACAATTCTCATTTGCTCCGGTGTCATTGCAGCGCGGCCCCTTTTCTCTCTAGGCGTCGCTCACGGGACCCTGGGGACCACAAAGGAGGGTCACTGCGCGACCACGGGCCAGGTGCCCAAGGCGATTTCCTTCCTGCGAGGGACAAACACCCCCCCCCCCCGAGCTCACCTCCCACACTCCCAGCCCCCGATCCGCTGCCGGCCGCGCTAGGGCGTGGGGAGCCGTCCTTCCCCATGGCGTGGTGCCCACAGGACACCCTGGGGCCGGCTGAGTGACACAGGATGGCTTTGCGCAGGCAGGAGAGACGGGCTCATGGTTAAAACACCGCCAGGGGACTCGGAAGAGCCGAGTCCAATTCTAGCTCGTGCGATTGACTTCCCGTGTGACACGTGAGGAGGGGGGGTCATTTTGGGGCCCACCTCCAAAGGTGTAGCACTGACAGTGGGGGTGGGGGTGGGGGTTTCCCCAAAAAGGACCAAAATAAAGGTCAGATTTCCGTGCTAAGCCCCTTCAAAATCCAGCCCTTTATCCCACTGGCTCTCAGCTGGACACTGGGGACAAGGACCCTTCTTTCATGACGATCGTTATTAATGTATTTGTACTGGGTGTAGGGCCTCATCGCGCTAGGTGCTGTCCAAACACAGAACTAAAAGACAGTCCCATAGTCTGTCTTCTCTAGTTAGACTGGGAGCTCTCGAGGGCAAGGACCGGCTCTCACTGTCTGGGCAGCGCCCGGCCCCACGGGGCCCTGATCTCGGTCACTGTCTGGGCAGCGCCCGGCCCCACGGGGTCCTGATCTCGATCACTGTCTGGGCAGCGCCCGGCCCCACGGGGCCCTGATCTGGGTTATTGGCCATGCAGCACCTGCTGCAATCGGACCCTGATCTTGCTTGGGGCGATAGGGATCCTTTTCCAGGAGACGGGCTCAGCTTTCAGAAGTCTGGACAACCCTGGGCTACGTGCAGCTCTCACATGGAAAAAGAAACTTAAATCTCTTCTGGACAGCGGGCAAAGTGACTGGTTCAGGTCTCCGGCCTTGTATATTTCCAAGGGTAAGTGGCTAAAAGCCTTCCAGTAAAGCGACGTATTATTTACATGATGTGGTTTATTGCTTCCTTTAAGGATATAAGAGCTTCACGCTGGGGCAGACCAATGCTCCAGCCAGCCCAGTGTCCTGTCTCCGACAGTGGCCAATGCCACGTGCCCCAGAGATCAGGGCCCCATCGCGCCGGGCGCTGCCCAGACCCCAGCCGAGATCAGGGCCCCGTCGCGCCGGGCGCTGCCCAGACCCCAGCCGAGATCAGGGCCCCGTCGCGCAGGGCGCTGCCCAGACACATAGTAAGAGACAATCCCTGTCCCAAAGAGCTCGCACTCTAATTGGACAAAGGGAGGGTGGGGAAACTGAGGCACAGAGCACAAAACGCAGGCTTTGCATCTCCTCCCGTCTGCATAGCCCTGCGGCGCCCCGCCAGTCGGCGATTAGCGGGGACCGGGGGCCGATCACCCCGAGGAAGGGGAAATGGAGTTGCCCCGGGCGATGAGCCCCTCCAGGACCGCGCCGCCCACGCCCCCCCCGCCGCAGAATCCGCGGCCTTGGTGCCAGGCGGGTGGGCGAACGCTAGCCCCCTCCCATAGCAACGCCGCCGTTTCCATAGCAACGAGAGACGGGAACGGGCTATAAAAAGGCGAAAGAAACGAAGGGATGTGAAAATAGAAACCCCGATGGCTCACGGGACCGGTTAGCCGCCGACACCTCTCCCTCCCCGCGGCCCTCCAGCGCGGGCCCGGGGCTCCCCCCCAGCACGGTCACCGCTGGGCTTCCCACAAGCTTCACAGCACCCCGGGGCCAGACCCCCAGCTGGGGTCAATCAGCCAGCGCCCCATGGCAGTCCCATGGGGCCAGACCCCCGGCTGGGGTCAATCAGCCAGCGCCCGATGGCAGTCCGTGGGGCCAGACCCCCGGCTGGGGTCAATCAGCCAGCGCCCCATGGCGGTCCGTGGGGCCAGACCCCCGGCTGGGGTCAGTCAGCCAGCGCCCCATGGCGGTCTGTGGGGCCAGACCCCCGGCTGGGGTCAATCAGCCAGCGCTC